AAGGAGCTTTAACATGCTTTAAAACCAAAAAGAAGTCACAAACCCACAATAGGCAAAATGAATCTAATGATCTTCATAAGTTTGGCTCAGAACTAAAGGTAGAGAAACAAAGTGGCAAAGGGGCTTGTACCAGGGATCAGGAAAACAATCATGCATATGAAGTTTGGATTGACAGACTTTCCAAGTATCCTCATGTTGTATTTAATGATAAATCATTCTGTGTGAATAAACCTTAACACTAGTTAACAACTTTACATTCCTATTTCATTATATATCTCATTAGGTTAGATGGGGCAGTTAATTCTCCAAACAAAGCTAACAAAGCTGGACTTGCAGCAGTGATATTGCTCGCTGGGAAACAGATCACTTGTTAAGAACTCATTTCAGGCACTCCTAAACTGGCAAATGTTTACAATGCTGACATGTGAGAATCACCCTTCAACACTTTCCTTAAAGATGTAAAGCACGGGTGCTTGTGGGGAGAATTTGCATATGCATACCTGTACAATGCAAAACAGGTTTTATTGCATGGGGCCTGAAACAGAAGGAGAACCTAATTCTAAGATGTTTCCAACAACATGAAAAGTACTAACAGAGCTAAAAACTAGTACTTTTTGTTCCTTTTAAAACCTTTAACAACTGTTACTTTCGTGGTAAATGGTAAAAACAGTTTAAATGCACGTTGCAGTCAAGTCTTATGGCAGTTGAAATTGGCAGCAATTGCAATGTATAAACTTGTGACTCTTGTTTGACTGGTTTATTTATACCTAGACACTTTCTCTGATCCATAATGACTAAAATGATTTTTTGTGCAACATTTGCTTTAATTATACTTTCTGCTGAGTGTTTCTTGCTACACTTGGTGTTGGCTCTCACTGTAGTACTGTAGCTTAATCCATGTAGGTTGTTTTAATTATAAATCTTTAGATAGTGACTTATTTCATAGTGTAATCATCACGTTTTATCCAAAACAAAATTTCTGATTTCCGAAATTGATTTCGGGAAATTTTTGAAATTTGTGTGTCGTATGCTTAAAGATTTTTGAAATCTTCTGAAACTACAAATGTGAAAAAAAAAAAATCCAACTGGGTACCCAGAAATCTGGTGAATAATATTTCTGGCAGTCTAAGCACAAATACCTTGGTGTGAAGCTGTTCATTAGAACAAATGGTTAATCTGATAAAACTAATCTGACAAAAGGATGCACTACAGGGGTCTTTAAAAAATTACTTATGCTTTGGCTAATTTACTCATATGAACAAATGGATGTTTTTCATTGCACTGTCTCAAGCGCAAGGATGAGGCTTTTCAAAGATGCCTTAAAAAGGAGAGCTCAAACCCCAGCCTGCGTAGACCAGCATTAACTAAAAAAGACACAAAGATGAACAGCAGGAAACAACACTGGAGCTGCACCTACCAGACGTCTGAGGGGGCCTATGGATGAGCTTAAAATTAAGAAAACCCTTCTCTGTGAGAAATTAAAGGAAAATGAGGCTGAATGGGAAACCTTGCTTCAGGTTAGCTGATTGTGTCACTCCATCATAATGTCATTTTTGGTCTTAACATCTTTTTTAGACTGAGTTTAACAAAATAATTTGTAGTCTTTCCACCCAGGAGGTTGCACCCAATGCCAAACATCAGGAACAAACCCTAGAAACAAGTTCTCGTGAGGAAAAACTGGAAAATCAGAGAGGCAGAAGAGGAGGAAATGAACAAAGAAAGAAAGGACAAAAGAAAGCAGAAAGGAAAAGGATGAAAAACGAAGAACAGAAGAAGAAAGTGAAGAAAACTTTGAGAGTGAGAGAAAGATGTGATGAGAACATAGAAGATCAAAATAACAGCTGAGAAGAAACGAGAAAAGGTGGCAGACGCAAAGCAGCAAGAAAGAAGAAAAGAGATTAGCTCGAGCAGAGGATCTAAACCCCAACCTCTACCGTCTCTCCTCCTTCCAGTCTTACCTGTGCTCTCACTTTCCCTACTACTATTTACCCTTGTTTTGCAAACATGTACAGTGCACCAATTTCGGATGAAATTTATTGAACTATCATGTATTCATTTTAAAATAAACAGCGGTGCTCCAGTTTTAGTCTTTGCCTACATCATTTTTCATCAATAACAAAAGGAGGAGGGGGCTCCAAAAGAAGAAAAGCAGGTTACATAATGTTTCCCCCAGTCCCCCTTTGGCTCTGTCTTTTTGTCTGTGTAGTATCATCTTCGAGATAGTCACTTACTAGTTGTGTATATTCTTAAACAATTTGGAAATACAAATTGTTAGTGCAGAGATTTCATTTCTTTTTTCCTCTGGAGTGAGGGCAGAATTCACTTTAATCTTTCAGTTTGTTGGCTTAATACCAATCATTTATACGTTTTGTTTTTGTTTTTCATTGTCCTGCAGATATATTTGAGCTCAGTTTTAAAAACTTTCAGAAGAAAAGTGTAGCACATAGAATATTTATACAGATTTCTTTATTCTGAATTATGTTTTAAATGAGTAAAAAGACAATTTGTCAGAAACAAGAAATCCATTTCACACCGTGCCTCCTTACTGGGATCCTGAAAATAATTGTTAGCAACATTATTTCTTGGTCTTGAACAAGAAAACAGTTGCCAAACCAGAAATAATCCACTAAGTAATCTGCAGGCAAAGAATACAGATTCATATAATGCATGATAAGAGTATCAGCGATGTGAGAAAAAAACATTACAAAAATTCCTTAGCTTATTATCCAGGTAAAACATTTATTTTAAGTCAGTGACTTATTTTAAAGAGTGTGAGGAAATGTCTTAATTGCAACTAAAGTACTGGTACACGTAGATTTTATTTGAGTTATTAAATTTTGTATTTTCTAATGAGCTTTTATTCATATTTCATTTTGACTTTTTAATCTGGTTTAGTTTCCATAGTTGATTTTCTTGTTTCACTCTGGTTTTTATGAACGTGTTTACTTTCAGTTTAATTCCTCTTAGTTTTAGTCTTTTATACACATCAGGAGCATGAAATGAAAGCAGTTGGCTCACAGTCAACACAGTAAGCATGTTTATTGAGACTTGTAGAGTGATAACAGATACTAAAACACTTTATTTTATTTTATTTTAGTTAGTTTTCAATTTGTATATTTTTTATTCTAAAGTCTAGTTTTTATTTTTAATGCGATTAACTTATGTTACGTTTTTCCCACATCTAGTCTTAGTTTAGTTTAGTTTGAATGAACTATAATAACCTTGATTCCATATGTGTAAAATCCCTCAATTTAGCAATGTATGATTCAAAACGACAAAGGAGAACAATTAATAAACATTTACAACAGAAAATGAATTGTGTTTAATTAAGAAGCCCAAAAATCAGTCCGTGAGGGCTAGGTGGCATAACTGGCTCTTTGCTAACATTTTTACTGAAAGGTTATTAAAACAGGGGACGAGTGAGACAGTCAACGGGCGCTGTTGTTCAACTGCCTGATGTGGGAAAACTAACAGCTTGGCTCCTTTATCTTCGCCGGCAACCTTTCATGGTTTAAGTACCATTTCCCATTCACAACCAACATTTAAATATTTGTAGTAAATGGCAGTTCGTCGCATTTCGCCCACAAACAGATGGAGATTATCATATACATTAACAATAGAGGGCAGTGTTGCTTAAGCAGACATGAAAAGCTCGTGAAATGTCCGGGTGTGGTGACAGTGCGCCGGCGCCTGGGATGCATTTTTATTGTAGACGGTTGGTTTTATTATCAGGGAATCGCTTCACAATAGATCCCCAGTTCATACATTCCTGTGTAGGAGGACCTGTGAGCTGTAAAGCACGGGTGCTTGTGGGGAATTAGCATATGGATACCTGCACAGTGCAAAACAGGTTTCTCTACATGTTCCAGGGCAGACAGAAGCAGGACCCCAGTCCCCAGTGTTTTCACACGGTTAATTGATCAATGAAACTGAGGTGGAACAACAAAGCAGTCCTCTTTGACCGTTTGGTCCTTTATTGCTCCCACGCTAAGTAGTGGTCCGTTTGAATGTTGGTTGTAAATTGAACACGTTGAGCATACTGTTGTATATCAAGTTTCCTCTTGGCAGAAGCACAGTGCTGTGACTGTCCTGGCTGAATTTCTGTCTCATGATTTACTCTGGGTTCTCTTCATATCTTTTCAACTGACTCTAAAGTCGTTTCTAAACATAATTTTCCTCTGGGATTAAAATATTCTGATTCTTAAGTATAACAGTGATCACAAAGGAAAGAGAAGTCATTGTATCACAAAGCAGTGTGGAACATATTCCTGATTCCAGATTTCACCATCTCTAAATAAATATTAGACAGATGAACATTACATACATGCAAGAGGATAGTTTAAGACATTGAACGCCCTGTTAAAGATAATGTTATTATCTGAAATGACATTAGATGGCAGTCTTTCATAAGTAGTGATCCAAAGCTGTTTGAGTCATTAATCCTCTATGAAAAGTGGCTTTATTGTAGTTAGAAATTTTGTGATTTCAGGTCTCAGTACAGAGCATGTCAGGATATCTAAGCATATAAAATAAATGAAAGCATTTCAGTTTTTTCAACTTGAAAAATATGGTAGCAACATCCTTGTTCAATAACATGTGTTCTGTTATTACAGGAACACCTGGCCATTAAGGGTAAACCATGGTTTTAAACTGTGGGGTTTGAAGCCAGGAGACAGGAAGTAAAGCAGAGTTAAATGAGTACATTTTGTGCAGGTAAAGTAAAGCAACAAGAGCTTACTGATGCTTCTACATCCAGCAATTTCAGTAAGATTTCACCTTGATTCTTATTTTTTTGTTAATGTTTGATGGGATGTTAGGCACAAACTTTGTCCCCTACATTTCCAACCATGGACTAGAGTAACACATGCACCTACTAATATTTTGCCCGTTCTTGGGATTGTGGGAACACACAAGCCAGAAGGAAGGATAAAACACCATGACCAGACAAACCTGCTTCTGGAGAGATTACATGAGTGAGAAATGCACAATAACAAACTTGGTGCATTTGTAAACAAACTTTTATTTTGGAGCCCTTGAGCGCAATTTAAAACAACTGCATGTTAGGAGAATGACACTTTTCAAGTTCACCAAATCGACCATTGGTTGCAGTGGATTCTTTCTCACAGCAAACATAAAAACATAACAAAAAACAAAACCACAGGGACAACTTTGCCAAAAACTCTCATTAACAAAAAAAAAAATACATTTCACACTGCACCAGTTTCTTGGGATCCTATAAACAATTTAGTACCTGAATCTTTGCTGAACCAGACTATAAAGATCCACAGCAGTCTACAATGCTTAGCAAATGTTTACAATCTACGATAAGAAAACAGAATACCAAAAAAAAAAAAATAATAATAATTACCACCCTGACTGATTATAGTATCAAAGATACAAGATGTAAACATTACAAAAATACAAAAACTGCTCAGGATGAGCAGATAGGCCTATGTAATTCTGGTAAGGCACTCACGTCAATAACTTATTTTAGAGACAGTGTGAGGAAGTGTCTTAAATACTACTGAACTAGAATTTAGGCAGTGTTATACATGTATGCACAGATTCTGTATGTACAGTAACCACCAGAGGCACTTAATTTGGCAGTATACAAGTGGTAATAAAAAAATAAGAGTGGAGTGGAAGAGGACAACTGCAACTGTCTGTCAGGGGGAAACAGTTCATGCTACACTGATTTTGGACAGTCCAGCAGGGAGAAACCAAGTCGGTCCTCTTCTGAGGGGTGGATTCTTATGGATGCAAGAGTCCAGAAGAACTGTGGCCTACATGTGCCTCTTCATGTGGAGAGCCAAGTGGTCTGAACGGGAGAAGGCACGTTCGCAGAGGTGGCACTGGAAGGGTCTGTGTCCGGTGTGCTTTCTGAAGTGGCGGGTCAATTCGTCTGATCTGGCGAACTTCCAGCCGCATCCTTCCCAGTTACAGTGGTAGGGCTTCTCACCTGAAAGATGTAAACAGAAGCATATTAACATATTTTATATGACATGTTCACAAAACAAACAAAAAAAAGCAGAAGAAAACAAAAATTATATTAGATTTTAGATTCTCACCTGTGTGTGTTCTCATGTGCGCTTTGAGATGGGAGCTCTTTGTGTAAGTCTTTCCACAGCCGGGGAACTCGCAGTTGTGCGTGGCAGCGCGTTTTCTAGCCCACGATCTGCGGGCTCGTTTCTGCTTCATGCACCCGGTCTCATCCTGCGAGTAAAACTCGAGCAGAACCGGAGAAGGAGAAGAGGGAGGAGTGAGCACCATCCCCTGCATCGACAGTGGACGCTGCTGCTGTTGCTGCTGGTGAACGTGGACCTGCTCTCTCTGCGCGTTGTAGTGTCCCTGAAACGATGGCACACCCTGGTGTGCGTAAATCGAGTGATATGGCGCGTTCATATATTGACCCTGGAGATGGCTTTGATTACTGGGATGGTGAGAGCTCATGTGCGCATTTAAGTGGTAGTGTGCCGTATGTCCGTGGGATGCAGCGTGCTGCATGGGATGCGTGCCGTGAGCCTGCAACCCACCATGAAATGCAGCCTGGTGGTGCGTAAAGGTTACTGGCTGCATTAGGTTTTTCTCGTGAACGTGTTCCATAAAGTTCTCACCGCTGGCGGCCATCATGCAAGATGGACCCCCAGACTCGGTTTTGATTTTATATCCAAGCGGGATCGGTGCGGTGGCAGCTGGGCGGTGAAGGGGAGCCGATGGAATTGAGGCTGAATTCAAAGCTCGCAGTTCGGTGAATTCCCGGTCATCTCTCTCCTTGCCCGCGCAGTCCGGTGAAGCATCAGCCGGGTAACCTATCTCAGGCCTGAGAAGCTCCACCATAAGACTGTGAGCTGGGCTCGACTTTGCGACGTTTGCAGTTCCGTGGCAGCCCAGGTGAGAGGGAGGATGATCGCTGCACTCCGTCACAGCACCACCGCTGCAGCTTTCCGGCGAATCCGGGAGAGAATACATGCAGTTCTGCTGCTGCTGCGTTGGTGGGATGTTCCCATTGCCGTCGCTGTCGCTTAGAGCATCGCGGCCGATGGTGTTGGACAAAATAAAATCAAGATCCAAAAACTTTCCCAGTTCGTCGTCTTCTTTGGAGGGTAAAGCAGGAGAACGCACCATGTTGAACTCCACTTCCCACGGCGGGTTATTTGCATCACCTGTTGCGCTGTTCTGCACTCCCTCATCCACCTTTTAGAAATGTAAAGGAGCGCAAAATTTAAAAAAAAGTTAGAAGAAAGCCAAGCTGCATAGTCGGTCAACAGTGAGAAATAGATCTACAAACATATTATGATAACACACTAGAGTTACCACAATGTGCCATACTTAAATGTTCTCTACTTACATTATCCAGTCCTTTGAGACTCGGAAACGAGATTAAGGCAGGCATCACTGCTTCAGCCACAGCCATGTTGACCGTTTTTAAAAAGAGTTTAAAACGCCGAAGTCCTGCAGATGCTGTCCTCCGCGTCCGTGTGCTCTCTGAGTGAAACCAGGATTCAGGATATGAGTAACAGCCCGACTGATGGACTTTTTATAGTGGTCTACGGTCGAGCATACGGAAGTGTGGGTTAACCCCTCCTCTTGCGCGCACACACGTACACACCTCCCCCATCACCTGCACATTCACACAGCAAATAGTGCAAACAGGTTAAACCAAGCACGGGTTCGTGTCAGGTAACCGCTGCTATAAATGTAAAACAGAAAGAGGAAAACAAATAAGATGAATGAAAACTTAAATAAATTCCAAAACCAAAAATAATTATTTTGATTGAATTGACTGGATTTTATAATTTTTGATTTAATGTGGTGAATATGTTGGTTTGTTTTCACTCATCACAAATATGCTGGTAAATAATGACGAGGCTTAATAACAATAAAACTAACCTTTCTCACTGTGCTTGTAGATTATTTATTTATTTATTCTTCAGCTTTCTGCGATGACTTTCCTACTTGAACATAACATAAACGCGTGGAAAAGCATCGAGTTCATCTCTACAGCAGTAAATCTAGTGTATCTCCCAGGGAAGCCGAACATTTCCCGTGAGGAAGCTACAGAGGGCAGCTTAGGAATGGAATTTTAACTCTGTGTATCAAATATTCCAAGATATATTTGGCATATATGCTTTGCTGAGGTGCCCTTCAGTACAATGAAGTGATTAAAGTAATGTGTTTGTGTGTTTTATAACTGATATTGTTGAAATCGAGAACAAAACATTGAGTGCCTTTAAACTCAGCAAATCTGGCATCTTACCAGTTTCTTTCCAATCTCTGACATACTTATTTGTCCTACATTGATCTCTGCGTGTGAAGCTGCTCATTCCCGAGGCCAGTCCGAACAACCGGTTAATCTGATGGTAAACAAAGGGCTACATGTTTCGAAACGGTCTTCCCCCGCAAAAGGGCACGATACGGCACCCTGCAGTCATTCTTATGATAATGCACAGGTTGACTGGGTTTCGTGGTGGGAAAAGCAAAAAACAAAAAACTGAAGACTCCAAGAAAAGAAGGAAAACAGATCCATGAATAATGACCCCCCTCCAACCACCATTTGTCTCTGTCTTTTTGCATGCCTGTTATCACCCCATTAGAGTAATATTCCATGGCAAACTAGTTGCATACTTTCTAAAATAATGTTGAGATACAGATTACAAACGATATACACACATTATATTCCTTTCCCTCTCGAGTGGGAGGATGAATTCACCTTTCAAACTTTTAGTTTGCTCTGCAGATATATAGAAAAGGAGTTCTTGTCTACTGAAAAATGTTTTTAAAAAATGTTTTTACATTTTTGTATTCAGTTTTGTTGTCACTGAGCAGAGAACTGATACAAAGCCAATGAAATTTACTCAGTATTTAAAGAAGAAACGCACAGAAAGAAGAAGGTACAGCAGTATGTTCAGTGGCTGCATGCGTCCGTTACAGTATGTCAGTAAGTGTGGAGACACTTATAAATACAGACTGTATGCATAGATTACATTACATGATTTGATGTTAAGATAACAGTAGTCTAATATTCTTACAGATAACTGATATTGCAGCACAACATTTCACTTGCCCGTATCTCAGATATTGGGTTTAGTTTCTGTAAATTCGTAAATTGCAGCTAAGCCACACAAAGCAGTGTTACTTTTGTTCCACCCCTCTCCGCTCCTGCAGGTGTTGTCACAGGCGGCGTCCTGCAGCACTCTGCTTTTATACTCTGTTATTTTTGACCTGCTGAGCTTACGCAAAACAAATTCCGGTTCTGTCTGTGAGCCAAGTGGAAATGGACTCTGTTTCCTGAGGAAAAACTTCACACTTGCTTCCCTTGCTTTCACTCTCAATCACCTTCAGATGCTTGAAAGCATACAGACGTGTTGAGGTGCTCTGGGCCTGTTGCATTTTAAACCACTTATTATGTTCCTGTGCTGGAAAAGAAAAGTATGTCTGCTTTACTTTGTGTTTTGTGGGATTATGATAGATGTTTAGAGGTTTATAGCTGATTAATATAACTGAATTTGTCCATAACACTAACACACTGAATTCTGCTGAATTTTGCTTAAGAAAAACAATAAAAAACAAACCCACACGATGTGCAAAAATCAGCGATTTACCTTGGGTCCTCAAAGACCTTATTACAGTCACGTCATGAAAAATACAAGTAACAGAGACTAGAGAGACAGATACAGATAAAGAACTGCCCTGGGCTCAGGTTTCTCTTTTGTCACGGTTTTTAAAAGGGAGGAAGTCTTTCAGTTTGAGTGCTTTCTAAACACAATTACTTAAGATTACAGTTGAGCAGACAGACAGATCTTACCCTGGATGCACAAACATGTTAACTCGGAAAACACAAAAAGCTGTTTCACTGTCAGCTCTTTGCGTTTCTAATTAAGTTCAAAGCTGTCCTCTTTTCCCTTTGTTTGTGTCTGGTTTGTCATGTTACTTGATTTAAAAACATTGCTAAAAGATGGATATCTCATTTTGTTTGTTGTCATTTAGAAAAGTGTTTTATTTTGTTGTGGTGTGGTGCTGTGGGTGTGCGTCCTTTAAATACACATAACAGACTATTTTAATTTAGTTTTGTTCATTTAGTGCCAATTCACATCAACAGTCGCCTCAAGGTGCTTAATATTGTAAGATAGAGCTCAAAATAGAAAATTAGAGGGAAAACCTCAACATCATATAACTCGCTGTGAGAAAGCGCATGGTCAAAGTGGGAAGGAAAAACTCGCTTTTATCAGGATGAAATTCCAGCAGAACCATGACGGGGGGTTGGGGGATGACACATTATGGAAGACAGCCAGAGTTGGATAATTAGTAATGATTAATGCAATAGTGGTGTATGTGAATGATAATGGGTTAACTGCTCAGTGCATCATAAAGCCACCCAGCAGCCTAAACCTATTGCAGCTAGTTCAGACTCACTTGTTCCAGTCCTGACTATAAGCTTGATCTTTTAAAATTAGTTAACAAGCAAGGAACAGCATTAAAACAGACAAACATAGCAACTGTTGGCTCTCAGTTTGGGTAAAATGTAGATCGATTTGATAACAAATTATCGCTAACTGCTAACAAGCAAAAATTGTTAAGATAGTCCAGTAAAGAAACCACAGTTCTCGCTAGGAGTAGTTTCACTAAATTGACAGTGGAAGTAACTCACTGAAAGTAGCTCCATTGTTAACGATCTGCAATAACTAAAGGAACTGTGTTTGAGCTAAATTGTCACAGTTAGTTAAAATGTCAGTCGATACAGTTGGCTTGAATAAACTGATGCATGGTTGCAATAACTCTGAACAGCTGTTTAATGCCACAAGTAAAGGATTTAACAACAAGAACAAGAACAACAACAAGTTAATAGCTGCAAAGGATAACGTTTCAACAGTAAGTAAAAGACCAATGTAGATATGTTTTAAAAAAGAACAATTATTGTTAATTTTGTGTGACATAAAATCCGAGAATTCAGAGAATGACATGTGCCAAAAGAATACTGAAGTTCATCTTTGATCGACAGCCTATGGGGGATATGTTAGACATAGATTTTCAAGATCATATCAAAACCTGATCCTCTGAAAACATTTCTTCTATGCTACTGAGTGCAGTCAGGCTTGAGACAAAATATGTTTCACAATCACTGTCATTTTCTCATTTAGAGGCGCACGCATGACCATAAATACACATTGTTTTTCTGTTCCTGTCCAGTAGCTGTGTTCAGAGCAGCCAGGAACAATTTACTTATGTAGTCTTTGGGGACACACACACACACACACACACACACACACACACACACACACACACACACACACACACACACACACACACACACACACACACACACACACACACACACACAAACACACAAGAGGGAGAAAGAGAGAGAGAGAGAGAGACAGACAAACACACACACTAACAGCAATTATCCTCCATCACCCACAAACTGAGGGGAAACCCAGCTGTTATCTTGGATAAATACGCTGCCATGCATGGCATGAATAAGCAACAAAGTGGTTAGAGAGAAAAAAGAAAGCATAACGATAGCACAGAGACTGGCTAGTTATATTCTAGAAAGATATCTAAAGGAGTCGGGGAGGAGAGGAAATAAGAACAAACGCAAACCAACAAGGAGAATCATGGGAAAGAGGTATGGCAACAACATTGCCCCGAGACCCTCTAATCTTTAATTCTGCTCTTCCTGAGGCCAGACACTGACGCCTGTTGGCTTAAACAGTCTGATTACAAGGGTAGAAGACTCTTTACCTCTGACCTGGCTAGACTGGGACTTTTTAAAGTACCGTAGCACCGAATCCTTTCAAATCCAGAAACACAGCAACTCTAAGATGACACAAACCTAAACTGAAAGAGTTTTTATATTTTGTTACAAATCTGGAAATGCCTGAATCGCATGTTCGGCCCAGCATCACCCCACTTAGGTACTCCTTATGTGAAATAAAAGATTACATCCCTGCTGTATTAGAGTATTTAGCTACCAGCAGTGCTAAAAGGTTTACTCACACTCATTTTAGCTAAATGGTTTAGTAGCATTCAGGACTAATGAAGTCATTTGCATCAAGGTGACAGCCTAATGAGATAAGGGTGCTCCACATTTGACTGCTCTTGAGTAGATTATTGGCTGATTACATATCTTTTGTGTGTATTCAGGATCAGATGTAATGAGGAACTTGAGTAGTAATGATGATCCGCTGATCCGTGATATCACAGTTGACGTTTCTTTCATTAATCATGGTTTAATTATCAGTCCTCTGATATTGTGGAGAAAACGGATCCAGCTCAGTAGTAACTGAAAGCTTCTGATTTCTGTGGAACTTTTGTGGTGTTTAAAAATCTTGGACACAATAAAAGGAAAAAAGTTAAAATTCTGAGAGAGAAAGTTTTATCTACTTTCTGAAAAATGTGAAAATATTCATACGATTTATGAAAGAAACTAATTGTATGGAGAGACTTCACAGTGAGTCTGATTAAAGAGGATAGGTTTTGATTGAGTAACTAAATTGCTGACTTAAAGGC